CTCTAGAGGCGGATTTGCCTGTTCATCGACCCGCCAAACCCATTCCATTCGAGCTAGCTCAACATGCAGCCATCTTCTTTGAAGAGAGACTCTGTCCGTTTCCTCCGCATCGCTGTTTCTTCTTTGTCCACATCTGACCTCCCGGTTTAGATACACAAGCTATCAATTTTCTACTGAATATCCTCACATCCGGTACCGTTGCCTCAGCGCCAGTATATACTCCACCCGTCCAGCAACTCGCCCTAGCCGCAACTCTCCTCATACACCCCTCCACCACCACGCGCGCAAAAACAACCGAGGAGGAAGAAGCACCCCTGGCCGCATTACGTCTGCTTCGACTGACCAATACTCTCGTCGGACCCATCTCATCGAAGCTAAACGTTGCATTCTCTTTCAACCTACCCGATTTTCCCCGCCATACAAGACGACGTCCCGTGGCAGAGAACATTCCCCCACCCTCGGACCTATCTTCCGATGATACGAAACCCTTGAACTTAGATCTAGGCCAGTCTCTTTCCCTGTGGTCCAATGCAGAAGACTTTTGGCATGTCGTTGGCTGGGCGTTCAACTGTTCTGTTCGCCATCGTCCCCGCTGGACGTGGTGGCAGGTCTGGCTTGAATACATGTGTGATGTTCTAGAGAGTGATTGGAACGAACAATTTCGACAGTATAAGGAGGCTCACACCGGAAACACTATTAGTGAACAGGGACCACCGCCTTCCCCGAAGAAGTCCCGAAGGAAGAAAACGCATCATGACGATGATCCAGCCCTCCAGATTCTCAGAGAAAGCCTCATATTCCGTTACATCCACGGAGCTAGCACCACGTACGGTCCATACCGGCGCATCGTCCGCTCCATCTTTGCAGACGGTGGCTCGACCTCTCGCAACGAGTTTCGCGAAGTCTTCGAAAATGAACTCAAATACGCAAAAGCTCACACCTCCACCAGCAGAAAGCGCAGCGCGCAGGTCAACATCGATGAGAACGAGTTCGGCGACTACCTCACGGACGATGATCCGATCGAGGATGGAGACTACGACGATGAAAACAAGGATATCAATGAGACGGATGCCAATTCCGACGAGGAAGTATATGCGGCTGTTTCAACCACCAGCAGGTCCAAACGCTCTCGTGAGAAATCCACCCCTCGGCGCGCACCCCAGCCCAAGCGCAGAGGCAAATCACTCGCCATAGGTCCCAACGGCATCAATACACCCCCCGGCCCATACGGCGGCTCTGCCCCAAGCACTGGCGCTCGTGTGCCCATCGAAGAGCTTCCCACAAGACACATCCCCTACATGCACGGCGACGTCGGATTCTACGGAGGCATGCGCTCGCTCGGTCTCCGACAACGACTCCTACAACTCCTATCCACCGTCTCCCAATACCTCCCCGACGACTTCATCCCCCTCGAAGACCTCTACCACCTCTACGCCGAAAACATCCGCCACCTGCCCCTCCCTGTCTTCCAAGCCTTCATCAGCCCCTCCACCCTCCCCTACCTCTCTGGCCATGCCAAAACCACCCTCTGCGAGTTCCTCCTCTTTCGCATGCGCGAGACCGCCGCCCCCGACACCGACGACGAATATCTCAACCAAGCCAAGCTGGAACGATGTTTCCTGCCTTACGCGGCCAGCACAAAATTCATAGCCGATAACACCAAAATCTCCCTCATCCTGGAGTCACTGATCATTCTTCTCGCCGATAACGGCATGCTAAGCGTCACAAAAAGTCTGCGAGAAGCTGTTCATAAGGGCGTTAATCGTCGTTTCGACCGGTCCGAGTACCAATCGCGGAAATATGTCCAGGAAGCTTACAGGTGGGCGGATGATATCGAGCGTGCGTGGTTGGAGGAGAGTGCGGAGCGGTTACAATTTCTCGTGCTTTGTATTCTGCCGTTCGAGGGTGATGCCACTACCACATGATGCTTGAGGTATTAAATTGTTTCTTCTTTTTCTTTCTTCTATTTGCATGCGTGTGTGATTGGAGTGAGCGAATCAATAGCAAGCGCGTCATGTTGCTTTCCTTGTTTGTTTAAGTATACCTTCTGTTTCGCTCGTCGACTCTCATACTCTCTTGAGACAGGCTTTCGGCCATATTTCCTTAATGTATAGATAGTACAAATACCCATTTTAGTTGGAACTGATATGAAACTGAAACTCTGAACTAGTTCGAATTGTCTATCGGAATTCACCTTCAACTACTTATTTATTTAAATTTGATTTCAATCCTTTTATTTTATTTTTTTCCCTTTCCCGGACAGAAATATATTTTGGACCACGCAAACCAAGCAAACTTCGCAATTGCACACACCACCGCACCAAGCGGTGCGAAGGGGATAAAAAAGGAGGCAAAAGAAAAGGGTATATCCACAACACAGGGGAGACAAACTAAAACCAGACAGGCAGATAAAATAGATAAAGTGGGTAAAAGAAGACACTAAACGAGGCGAACTATGAAAGGGCACACTCCACTTTATATTTACGGAGGTGGCCTCGGCCCAATAATCTGCCGCTTAGCGCCCGCAATAGAAGACCCAGCCCTAGCTGCTGCCTCCTGTGTCTGGCGCTGGTTTTCCTCCCACTCGCGCTGACGTTCCCGTTCGCGCTCCATCTCGCGTTCCAGAAGGGACTTGGAAGCCCAGCCACCGGCCTTGGTCTTCTCTTGAGCGGCGGCGCGACGGCTATTTTCAGCGTCTACCTCCGCTGTGGTGGTGTAGTCCTGAGGCCGGTGGGCGGCGGGCTTCGGGGCAACAGGGGGTCGGTTGGATGCGAGGAATCGGTCGACCCGGCTCTCTTGTGTGTAGGGGCTTTGGGATGGAGGGGTGTAGCTTGTGGGATCGGGGAGGGGTCGTGGAGGCATAGGGGGCTTCGCTCCGGTGGGGTCGGGCAAGGGGCGAGGGGGCGTGGATGGTTTGTCCTCGGCGGAGATGACAGGCTCTGGGAGGGGTCGGGGAGGCATGCTCGGGGGGATGTCTGATTCTGTGAGTGGCTCGTCGTGGTGCTTTTGCCATTCGGTGCGTAGCATGCGACGCTCTTGCTCGAGGGAGGATAGGTCGTAGCTGGGCTGGGCTGGCCGGGGGCTGCGAGGCGGTGATTTGGTGGCCCGTTCTTGGATGTCTTGACGTTCACGCTCGTATTGGCGTTCTCTCTCCTTTGCGCGTTCTAACTCGCGCTCGAGTTCGCGGATTCGTTGTCTCTCGCGGTTCTCGCTGGAGACTGGGGGAACGGGAGATGCTGCTGGTAGACTGGCTTGGTACTGGCTGAGGAACTGTCCGTTGAGACGGCTGTCTTGCGCCTCTCGTCGTTGCAGTCGCTCGCGTTCTAACCTATCTTCCGTTTCTTTTTCTTCACGTAGGCGTTGACGCTCCTCTTCTTCCCATTTGCGCTGTTGCGCGTCCCAGCGCTTGCGCTCCTCTTCGACTTGACGCCGCTCTTGCTCCCTCAGACGGTTGGTTTCCTCCTCCCAGCGGCGCTCTTCCTCGATGCGGGCACGCTCCTCTTCCGCTTCGCGCTCCTGCTGGAGCTGGCGCTCTGCTTCCTGCTTTTCCAAAACTTGCCGTTCTTCTTCCTCCTTTCTCCGCTTCTCTTTCTCCGCCAAGCTGGGGACACGCGGGGCAGCGGTGGTGATCTGCCGACGTGCACCAAAGGCAACGCCCATGCTGCCCTGGTTTGCGCCGCCCATGTAGCCGTACTGGTGAATATTCCAGGCGGGGGCCGTGACAAACTCATCAGACTTCTTGCTCCAGCTGCTGACTGGCTTCGGGGACCTTGCCGGGCTGGAGTGACCGGATACACTCGACTTGGTGGGGGTATAAGCGCCTTGACTGGAACCGGTGGCATGCGGGCTCAGAGTAGCTGCCTTGCTTTGAGGACCGAGTGCGCGAGGGAACTTGCTAGGCTGGAGAGCATTGGCCCGACGACTGAAAGACGTAAGACATTGTAGGACTTGTGCGGGGTCCTTGGCTTCGTAGAGATCGACGGTCAAAAAGACATCGTGCGGAGGGAGGCTGATGGGCTGCATTTGACATGCGCGAAGGAAGTGAGAGATGTTCTCCATTTGCACGAACGGCATCGAGGACTGCTTGTACTTGACGCCGGGGGAGACGGCCAAGTTGACCAGCCTGCAATATTGTTAGTGTTCTTGAACGGCACTGTCTTTGGAGGAAATTCGCATTATTCTCACCTGCAAAGTGCAACACCATCTTTCAAAGCATCCAGGAGATCTCCTGGCGGGAGCTTTTCGTGTAACACTTCTTCAATCCAATCGCGCACTTCCGCGGCTGCCTGCGGGGTATAGCGGGACAAGCGCAGACTGCGCAAGTCCTTGTCAAGCGAGGTGACGGAGGCCATCTTGTAGTTCGAGCCGTCTCAATCAGAGCGTTTGGGACATGCAGACGAATTTAAAGGACCGTTAGGCAGCTTGGGCGCAAAAATATACGGAAAAGAATAAGGGGGAGTGGGTGTTTATAGTGGCTTTCCGGTGGGACGAACCGGCAGTACGTCACAGGGGTTCAGGAGGGGGGTGGAGGCTTATGTGAGGGCGGATGAACCGGAAGATCAATTCAGGGTCTAGATGAAGAGAAGAGGAAGGGATGAAGAAGACAGATCACCGGGGGATTATGAGGGATCAATGTAGCAGATTAACCGAAAAGGCAGAGACAAAACAAAAGCAACGAGGCCAAAGTTGAAGGGCGAACGGAATGCGGCGTGGAATGGAAATCGAACACTCGAAGCCCGAAATAGAAAAGAAACGCCCAGAACAATACCGTATTTGACGCCCCGTGACCGCCCAATCTTACACCGATGACGTCCCGTATGCCTGATATTTCGGGTGTCAATTATCGCCCAATCATCGCCGCTTCAATTCATCTCGGCTTCATCATTTCGATGATCGGAACATCATCTTCCTCTCTCTCCGCGCCACTCCACCACCACTGCACTGCCTCAATCTAGATCGCATAGCCTCCGATTGACCACCATCCTCACTTCGGTCTTCCAATGAGTCCGATCAACAGTCTCTGGTTCAAGTGGAAGGGCCTTCGCCTACCCTGGCGCAGGTCGTTCCTCGTCGGTAAGCTCCTCTGCCATCCTCAATCTATAGCACCCCAGAAACCCTCCTAACACCTCTTCCTCAGGCACCGACCTACACGGAAACACCTTCTGGGAATTCAAGGACCAACTCAACGCCGGCCGCTTCCGCCGCATCGTCAAGACCGATCCCAAAACGCACCTCGCCGATGTCCAAGTGAGCCGTAAGTGGCACCTTCAGGTCTCTCATAGAGTATCCCCAACAGCAGCAGCTAACACCGTACCCCCGGTAACTACAGCACAATGGCACCAATGGCTTCGTTATGTCCGCGCAGACCCCCCATCCATCCAAGAACAACAACAAGACATCATCCGACAAATGCAAATCAAGGAATTAGCCCGTCTGGCCGATGAGCGCTGGGCCAGCAAACCATCATATCTGGATATGCCCAAATCCCAACAACAACCGCTCCCCGCCACCAACACCGGTGATGCGGCAGTAGCCCAAGCAAACAAGAGCCCTTCGGAGGATACGCAGACGGCAACCGCGGAGGCTGCGAAGAAGAATGACCCCTGGGCGAAGGCGGCGGCAGGCGCTCCGGGTCAGAAGTGGCAGCCTGATTCGTGGAGCCCGACTGCGTCGAAGAGATGAGTGAGCGAGTCTGTAGGGAAGGAGGTGGAGAAATGCAGCTTGGCTTGACTACTCCGTACCTGGGCCTCCATTCTCTCGCTTCAATCTGAAACACATATGCCAGACTCGTCACCTCTAAAATAGGCATATCTGGGGTTGCCTTGCCAGGTTGCCATCCGTTCCCGAAATGCGGAACACGCCAGACATACGCAGAGAGAAGCTGATTGGCTGTGTTTCGTTAGTGTCGTTGGAGCAACATTACAGACAGTTGCGAAACAGTATCTGTCGATAAGAGACATCACATTTTTCTGGTGATCAGGGACGGGTTGGGATGTCTCACATGGTACTCGGCCATCTGGAGCTTTGGCTTAAAGGACCCCCAACTCTTGTATATTACGAACTATTACTGTATTATGAATGAACTATGTACATTATTTTCATTGGAATTTTATACCAGGTCGCCGTTAGGCGAATATTGATCAGGCCGGTTCCATAGAATGTACAGGTATGTCAAAAAGCATGGTGCTTGATTTCTTTTGTGTCGCCACCTAGCTGCATGTATACAGATCACTCGCTTCTGTGCAAACACAATTTTCAAGAATGCAGTATTAGTGGTATATATTATATCCAACTAGTATGAGTTTGATGGAACCTGAATGCCCGCCAATCTAACGCTTTTGATGAAATCAAACTCCAAATCCTTTTCGGCTCAAAAAGAAAAAAGTGATGATCAGACGAACACCCAAACGACCGTTGCCTTGTATAGAGAAATGAAACAAACAGAAAAATGAAAGAATAATAACAACAGACTCTGGAATGGTATAACGAACATACAAAAAACTGGCTAGCCGCAGAACACAAATGACGACGAATAAACGGATACTGGTAAACGAGCGATGCACTGGATTGACATGTGAGTATTACTATTACATATGATATTAGCATAGAATTGCCTCCAGAGCTTCAACATCTCCTCCGGCACTCCGGACGGCTTGCAAGGCAGCTTCGCTGATTTCGCGGCGTCGAGCGCGGGCTTCTTGCTCACGTCGTGCCTTAGTCTTGGAGCTGCCACTGGGTGCGACACCGGTGAGGATCCTCTTGGAATCATTTTGTGTGAAATTCACGAAGGATACGGTGACGGCCTTGTTGCCTCCCTTTGGACTCCCCGATGAACTGTGGGGAGCCTTGACTGGTTTGGGTGCGCTCATAGAATTGGAGGAAAGCTTTCGGTTCATACTCTGGCGCTGAAATGACCTCCGGTGGCCATTGTGCATCATGCTTCCCCTCTTTGGTGAGCCTGAGCCCGGAGACAGCGATGGAGAGCGTGAATGGGAAGGGGGAATCTGAGGGGTGACGAATGACGATGAATCCACTGGTGCTGCAGTGGGCTGCATGTAGGCGCGGCTCTCATGACCATTTGGAGCGGAAGGCAGGCCGGCCGAGGGGAATGACGAATGTGTGTTAGAAAGATCGTATGACGACGGGTCCAGTTGAATCATAAGGCCCCCTTGCAGCATGTCACTCTGACTTGCAGAGTTCTGGATCGGTCTCTGTGCAGCTGGTGACGCCACCATCTGCTGATACGAAGGCTGTCGCTGTGGGACTCTCGAAGCCATTGGCGACCACCATGCTTGGCCATCTTGTCCACTCAGGTCGGGGGTGCTGTACGGAATCCCAGAAGAGCCAAGAGAGTCGGAATGCCAGGAAGACATGGACTGAGGGCCTGAAGAATGTGGGGAAGAGAAGATGTCGTCAGCCGACGGGGGGCTTGAGGTGGGCAACCCCGAGCCGCTGGACTGGCTTAAATATCTCGGGGGCTGCCCCGCTAGCGCAGCTGTTGATGGAGAAGGCATGGAGATAGCCGGCGATTGGTTGAAGATGCCGGTGTCATATTGGGGAGGTATTTCAGCTGATGCCTTGGGTAGTGATTCGCTGCGGTTCAAGTGGGCAGCAGAGTTGTCTGCTGCCATATTCTCCTGTTGAACGAGGATATCGGAAGGTGGTGGGGACAGAGGTAAGCGTTCATCCGAGCTGCGAAAGCTGAAGTTGTTGAATCGCTGCGCCCAGGCTTCTTGATACGCCATTCTGTTCCGTTGAGGTTGAGAGGAGCGTGTTATGCCAGGAGAGAAGCTCTGCTTGTGCAGCGGACCACGACGATCATTAGGTTCGCGATGACGACGGATCACCTTGGGCGTAGTCACAGCACTCTTGGTGGTCTTACGACTAGGAGTTGCTGGAGGAGTCGACGGAGAAGGGCGGGTTTCCGGAGCGCACGCTGTCGGCGGAGCTTCAAAGTTGACACCAAGCTCAGAAACGGCAGATGGGTGAACAGTGTCCTGTAGAGAGAAATTTTGGCCTTGGCTGGTAGAAGAGTCCGCGTTCTGGGACAAACACCAGAAATCTTTGCTCCAATTTTGGGCTGTTTGCTGATGGGGTTGCGCTGTTGATGTGGAGATGGCCGGAGAGTGCTCGCCACAGTCGCTGGACAATGACTCAAGCTGAAATATTTGGTCAAGATCGCCAGGGAATGAAACATCTTTGTTGCCATCCACACTGGAGTTGTCCATATTGACGTACTGATTAAATAAATCTAAATCATTCAAGGAATGGTCGAACTGCTGGGCGAACATTGTGCCAGACGGGGTGCCGCTTTCCGTTTGCGGCGACGACCAGAGGAGCTGTCTAAGGTCGACCCAACGAACACTTGGGCCGAGTAGATATGACTGGCGACGAAGGCCGCGGAAGCACAGAAGCTTGATGCAGAGGAAAGCTTGACGCAAAGTAAGGGACGGCTAGCTTAGCCGAGTATCCGTCCAAAATGGCCGCGGTGATGACGATGGCTCGAAGTGATGATGGAATGCACTGGCAGTGTTGGAACAGTTTGACGAGTTGACAATCGAAGAAAACAGTGCAGAAAATGCAAAGTAGACAAAGCAAACAAACAACAGACAGAGGGCTCCTATTTGAATTGCTACGATGGGCCCCAGCCTCTGGATTCTCCGCTGGATTCTGTGCACATTCCAAGAGCTCTCAACAAGGGCAAGATAGGCAGGAGATGTGCCATCAAGGAATACGCAGCCCCTCGATATGGCCCACCCCATCCGAATTGCTCGAGCAGAACGGCCCATGCCTTTCCCACAAGCCATTGTCGCCAATCAGGAGGAGTGCAAAGTCGGTGGCTGATTCGTGCCATCCACTGCCAGACACCCTTCACCCAGTGGGCTCGGAGCACTGATGGCCACCCGCGGGAATGCAACCTTTACTATGCCAGAAACAGGGTGCAGAGGTATCAGCAGGGCGGATATGGGCGGGTCTTAGAGGAACCAGCGAGCGCTGAGCCAATGACACCAACCTCGCCATTATTTGATAATCGATGTCGAGGCTGGATCGAACTATGAGTGTCACAATGGAGGTCGACCGGCTTCGACGGCTCGACGCGTCAAGGGACGACGTGGAGAGGGGGCTCAACGGGCTGACTGACACCTGGAGTGTAAGCGTCATTGGGTTGCTTTGGCTCATCCTGAGTCGTATAGGTAGGATAGCAGCCTCAATGATTTGCACTAAATTACCCCGACCGAACCTTTGCTCCACGCTCTTCCCGCATGGTGGAGCTAATGATCTTCGGGTACTCAATGAGCTACCGTTGGTGAGCTGGTTGGCCTGAACATTGGAATGCTGGGCCTGGGAAGAATGCACACCCCCCGTAACAATGCGTGGACAGAAGGATTTGGCATTCTGGATCAAAGCCCTTCCTGTATGCTTTTTGCATTAAGCATTAGCTCGAAAAAAGAAAGAAAATTCTTCTCTTTAGATCTGTAGATTAACTCGTCGTTTAACACGAGTTTCTATTCTTATCCCCCATTACGGGTGAAGTCCTGGCGAAGGAGGGAGAGCGTAGCTTTTTCGCATTCAGCTCTGGCCTACACCTTCTGTGAGTGTGCTGAGCTCCGTACCCATTGGCCTTGGACTACGCTGAAGAATAAGCGGTCCGTATCGTAGATTCGGCTTTGCGAGGGCTCGGAACTCTAAGTGTGATGTTTCATCGCGAGTTCTTTGTTCCTTGTCTCGAGATAGACAGCCTGATTCGCCAGCCTGGGGAGAGTTTAGTACAGCATAGTATCGTCTCAGAAGCGAGGCCGTCTCATTTCCCTGGCTAAGATGCCCTTTCTTTGTCCAGATTCCTCAGCATCTGGTGGAGCTGGGGTTCGTAATACTTAGGCTTACGAAGCACAGGCGATCGGAACAAGGTCACACTCTTCCGAGAGACGTTGGAGGCAAGTGATGTTTTGGAAGGTGTCTTATCAGGGGTCCGCCGAAACCGTCGTTCTGGCGGTACAGTGAGTCGAGCAAGCCACCCAGAAGAATTTCTAGGGCCAGCTTCTTTTAGTGCATCAAGCATACCAAAACCTAAACATAGACAACCAAGGATGGATTAATGCTAAGTATGGAATATAGATTCTCTGTATCGAATGTAAGTCCTTCTCGACTGTACAAGTCGGACGAAGATGATGGGCATTGTAGCAAAGGTAAGTGGTAGTGCCGCGTATTTCCTTTTTGGGAAGTCACTGTGCCGCTGTCCTCTCGACAAGGACTGATTCTCTTTCAAAGAAAAGTAAACCATCAGCCCGAAATTGGAGTGGAGAAAAAAGCCAGATGTGGATTAGAACCCAAGAGCATGGAGAGAATCTAAGCGAAGAAGCCAGCTCCAGCAGTGATAATGTCGACAATCAATGCTACCTCCAGAGTACACAGCAGCCCACACCCCTGATGAGAAACACTCACCGGCGGCACGTAGAGACTCCGGGACGGAATTACTCGCGACTCCGAGCCGAGCAGTAACGAGCGTTGATTGGAGGAAATAGCGAGACTCAGCCGCAACAGCTAGACCCAATTGAGCATTCCGCAATCGGCCCGATGGCAGCGCCGGAAAGGAAAGGAAAGGAAAGGGAGGCAACAAGGCCAAGGTCATGTGGTGATGACGGAAATCTGACTGACACCCGCGAGGTTCGCCTTGTTCCCATCCCTTTCTTCCACCCCAGCACTGGTTACTGTGCTATTTCTCATCCATTCTAGACACTTCTCGGCGGACAGTCGTCGGGACTTATCATACTCGAACTTCCTTTGAGGGACAGTCTCTCAACGAATTTTTGTTCCTTACCCCTCGTCTCCTCCCGTTGCACCACTCGTATCCCCACGAAAAGTGGGCATGACATTATAGCGCCAGGGCATCGGCCATCGGTTATTGCCCCTCTTTACGAACAAAGCACCCAGCCAAGTTCCGAACAGAGCCCTTAACGCCGTCATCCTCACGCAGAGTTGACGGATACTACCTAAGCACTACTATACGTGTGGCGGTATTTGTCTAGCATCAAATACGGCGCATTCTCATTCAACTCAACAACCGAGTTCACAAACGACCCAGCAGTCTATATGTATCACGTCAGACACTCCATCGAAATCGAACGTGTTTTCAAGGGAAAGAAAGGGCTTAAACCGTATATTTCGGCCAAGAACCTTTCCAACAATCAAACGCGCATGCGTCTTGACTCAAAACAATCCCCCAATTTGAAGTGAATTTACAAATATCCATAATGTTTTGCGAGGTTATTCTGGTCAAGGGCCTTCTCGGCTCTCACTAGGCGGCTACTACCTTTGCGCCTGTGCTTCACCATGGATTCCTTCAAACCATTTGGAGGCCTTCGAAGCCACTTTTTGAAATCAAAAAATCTCCACTCTTCTTCCCTTGCCAAAGGCAATTGACCTCTCTCCATCCCAGTCGCTACTACAAGTGCGAGTGGGAAAACTTTTGTCAAGTTTGCTTTGGGTTTTCTTGGTCATTGCCGCTGTTGGCATTCTTTGTTGACCAGATCATTCTGCAAAAGGCCTCTACCAAAATGAGCCCTCAAAACATGAACAAAAAGTCATGGGAATCTCTCTCTTCAACGTTTTCTCAACTTGAAGTATCGATCTCTCATGACAGTTGCTATGCCTCGGACGAAGTCTCTGTCGTGTCGACCAAGCAAACCACCTCGAACACCTCTGGTGTATCAGGCCCGGTGACTGCAACCGAACCGTCTCTTGGTTCCTTCTTGAAGCCCATCTTGAAAAGACCGTATTCCGAAATCGAAGAAGATGAGGAATCAGAGTCGGGCTATGCATCGGAAAACTCGGAATACGAATATGATGCGATATTCGAAGACAGTGATGACGATGATGATGATATGTACCATGTCTCCGGGTGGCACGACGCATCTGATATAATGTCAGACTCATGTGACGAAGACGATGCCGAATCCCTGGATGGATCTTTCATCTCTTTTGGACCCATGGTTCGATTTGACACGAACATACGCTATATCGATGCTCCAGATTCGCTGGACGACGATGAAGACTCTGAAGCAGAGCTGACTGGCCACGAGCTAATGGAACGTGCACTGGCATCTGGCACGCTCCGGTTCCAGGAGTCAGTTGACGAACTGGACGTCAACGACATCGAAGATGATGAACTCAGCAGTACGCTCGAGTCGATTAAACAGCTGCCTGAAGAGCACCCCAGCGACGTCGTCGATCTCGACAAGAGGCTGTTCCTTGCCTACATGAATGGCATCAACGGGATTCCTGATCTCGAATACAAAACCCGCCTTCGCAAACAGGCCAATGACTTCTACATCGGACGTCTGGACTCGCCGTACTTGGACCTGGATAGTGCCAGCGGCACCTATTTTGACAACGTGCTGAATCACGTCATTGGGCTTTTCCGCAACATAGTTGCCAAGGAGGACTTTGGAGAACTTGCCAACCTCGTTAACGAAGAAGGCGCCTCTGACCGTCCCTCGAGAGCCGGTAGAAGTCATAACAAGGACTTGCTGGCCAAGATTGAGAATCTACTTTCCGAAAGACTAGCGTGTGACACCAACGTAGGGCCAGATGAGCTAAGCTTCTTCACCAGCGGTGTTGCGTATGCACTGGAAAACTGGAATGGCTTTTTGGTCCACTAGAGTCAAAGATCATACAGAAATGATGACATGACGGATGAAAAGAGTTTGCAAACTGGAAACAGCCCAGATATTGATTTTTGCTTGACATTTTTCTTTTACGGTGTGCCATTGCACAGCACAACCGATTTTTACCAAAAGCTCGGTTCAATAGTCTTGATCATTTCATCAATAGCATGACATTGAAATAAAAGTGCCATTTCCTTCTACATATCAAAGGTCATCGAGATCCCTACCAGCCCAAGAAGGCAATAGACACGACCCGGGCCATTAGAGATCCTTTCTCAAAATCGAACAGTACTCAAACATAGAGGAGTGTCAATCATATGCCCATATGAAGGAAGCTATTGAACAAACCTTCCCTGTCAGTCTTGAAACAAGTTGAGTCCGTCAAGCAAGGCACAGCCCGTCCAGCTGTAACACACACTGTCATAGTAAGTGCCTAGTTGGGGATTGTGGATAATCCACCTGACCTGAAACGAGCGAGGGTTGGGGTATGATACCCGGTTCTGCTGTGAAACCGACCGCTTTGGGGCCAAACAATACCTATAGGGTACTACTTACTACTTACATTGGTACTATGACATGGCCAGTTACCTCCGAGTTAAGTCCCTTAGTAACCAGTACTTAAGGCATGTCAGCAACCTTGCTTACGCTAACCATGGCATAGGTGACAACTTTCAGTTACTTCGCTGGAAGGAATGTTAACTGATGACTCCAACAACAGATCAGAGCTGATGTCAGATCAGATCCGATCAGTTCCTTACTAGTTAACTAGTTAGTAACTGACTAAGTAGTAACTACCAGGCCGTCGCAGCAAAATGACATAACGAATAATAACCAAGTGTGCTAAGCCAGCCAGCCAACCAGCCAGCCAGCCACGTCACAATCAAATCAAACAGGCAGAAACTAACCCATTAAATTAACACTACCTAGTAGTAGGTAGGTAAATGAAGGAGCCGGCCTTATGAACGGAAAGCGGAATTCGCCTACACCAGATTAATTCAAATCAAATCAACTACACTACTTACTAGTCTACTTGTCCACTATGCGAGCAACTAACTAACTTCGTACTAACATCTTAGTTACCGAAGCCACAATCGCCTCCACCGAGCCAGTTAGAACGTATGATTCTAATGAAAGTGTGATTGATGAGTTGGATGGAAATGCTGCCGTGTTGTTTCTATTGCTAAATACAGTCTAGTGTGGTTTCTTTGTGTGTGTTCTATTGTTGATTCATTGTTGATTGTTCGCTAAGTATTTGTATTACTTACATATTGGTGGTGTGGAGCACATACAGTACATGCCATGTTGGCTGGCTTGAGATGGGGGCTATATGCATGTCATCTACTGTTGTTGTAGTAGTAGTAGTAGTATTCCGTCTACTTGGCTGATCGGTCGGGGTTCGGACTTTGAGTCCTTACTCACTTGTGTACAGATGTCTGGCTCTATTTACTTGCTGTGTTGTGTATATGCAGGCTGCGCCAGGGTATGCTACACACACACACACACACACACACACGTGCGCACACTTGCGATCGATCGATCGATTGACTGATCGTCCCTTTAATCCCTGCAGTGGATAATGATGGTGATGATGCTATCTGGATTCCCTTGCCCATCGTGGCGAATGGACTGGGCTGGGCTGTGTGACTGTGCCCCGACGCCGGGTGTTTATCGGGATTGATGGTTCACATGCTGTTGATACTCTGTACATGTACAAGGGACTCCATTAACTATTTTGGTAGAAACTGATGAGTAGTTGCCTACTAAGAAGGTTACCGGTTAGCAGTCAGTCAGCTATATCGGAGTATATCTCGGCTTTTGTGGAACCAGAAACAGAAGAGAAGCAGAAACTCTACTCAGTTCATCCATCATATACACCGTCACACGAACCAGAACTGTATATCCTTGAACGCTACACAAGAACATGTGCGGACTATTTGGTGGGTGTGTGATTGCGGGATTAGTTAGCTAGTTTGTATCCTAGGCCACCTGCATAAGTTGTACTACATGGGAACGTGATTTGTGTAAATAGCAGCCAGTTATGGTTATCTATAGGTCTAGATCGTGATGATCTTAGGTAGATAGTAGTGGAGATCATATTAGCTGGAGGTGTCTGTCACTAGTTGGGTTCTTCTTCTGGGTAGACATGGTTGGGCAGCAAGCAGTATTGGTCTCATTCCGTTATTAAAGGATATGGGGTTAGTTTAGCTGAATAATAGTGCTCTGACTATTGACAAGCCACTCCCGATGCGCTAGGATGCATGGCATTAGAAGAAGTGATGCTGTGGTGTGGTTGGTGCGATTGGGATCATGTTGCCGCTGTCGCTGCTGCTGTTGTTGCTGTTGCTGCTAAGTAGAAGGTGCCAGGGTCGGATATCTCCTATGAGAAGTGTATCCTAGTTTAGATTCAAAATGATGTTCTGGTGATAGATAGAGGCGTGATCTAGACGCAGCTGAGAAGAATATGGTAAATACAATGGCTGAATCCATCATAGATCACTCGAGGTCTAGAACTCTTCGAGGATTGCATCCTCCCAGTGCGTCCCATGTCCTTGGCTCCGGAATGACAGCTGACCCCCCACTACTTTAGATTATTATTCCTTTTGTTCAATGGTCCCTAGGAGGATACGTGTACTACCTAGAATAATCTTAATCATGGATGGATAGATTGAGTATGCACCTACCGTGCATCTCCAGCCTATTGGGACTTCCCATCTACTATCGGTCTCCCCGTCGCTTAATATAGCCACTGCTTGAGTCATGCAGTGTGGTCTTAGCTGGAGCTTTTACGTGGATATTTCCCCATCTAACTAGACCCAACTGGGCTGAGCTGAACCTGGGACCTGAACGGACTCAGCTGAGAAGCCTGAGAGAGACAAAGTGGGTATAGCGACCATATCCGAGATAGATTAAAATCTGTAGTCGGAAACCAATCATAGGCCAGAGTCCCCTGGTGTACCCGATTAACTATCCGAGGACTTACCCGGAACGGCTATATCGAGGGCCGTCCGAACCACGGAATGCGAGAACCACGGAGGTCACTGTCTGTCCATTGGTCATGACTGAGCATGACTGGGTACTGGGATCGGTCCACTGGGAAGGCACGGAGAGGAGATTTTTGGGATATGTCCAGCGATGCTGTATGTATGGTTGTTCGATCGCGTGATGGTGGGGGGTTGTGTGGGTGTGTGCCTGTAATGGTATTTCAAATCTTTGGCTTCTTACCTAACTAGTATCTAGTAACTAACTGCGCACCCGGATTATTGCAGGGGTCAGGAATAAATAGCAAGAAGATAGACTACTCACTCCATAGTAACTTTGGGAACGGCACATCAAGCAGGGATTTGCCCTGTGCTTCCCAGCAGCTTAATACTGAGAAGGAAGGTCGGAGGATTTTGTGGTCCCGAATAGTCATATAAGATTTGTCAGGGCATCCTTTAGCCTCATATGGCAATTCAGTAGCGTATGGGGTAGATATGGAGAAATTGCGTGTGTGTGTGCTGGAGAGTCATGCAGCACGCTCATGCATTATGGTCGTTACTACCCACCGATGATCTACCTTGTCAGTCCCGTTCGAAAGGATCGCCATCTTGATAATTGCGACCTCGTCTCGGTGGTCATCCCTTTTGCCTGTGAGAATTCTGTGACGGGTACAAGGCAGATTGACAGGAATGCCTAGCATTTCTGGAAAGAAACGGGGCCCTTTTTTTCAAGCCTCATTGCGTAATTGCTCAGAAAAAGCACCATCGCACCTCTGATTCTTCAGAGACTCAAAAGGGGAGTGAGAGAGGCAGAGGGGGAGGAGAGTGCCCGTGGTGATGGGGGTGGACCCCATGTCCATTGGCCCTGGGCACGGCCGCCTTCCGCTTCGGCCCAGGGGTATTGATTGGATTTAATAGTCGGAAATCAGAGTTTGACCTTGTGTTGGATGGGTCTGGATATTTTCGGGAAATATATGAAGTACAGAAACCTGGTACGACCAATAGACGGGCTCAACCGTGGCTTGTCTCTTTGTGACTATTCTTTAGGCAGAGAGGGCAGAAGAGGGGATGGGAGAAGACCCAGGAAATTCGTCCAGGAACATCACGGATCATTGTCCCAGACACCTTCCATTTTCATTCAAATATGCAGAGGATCACTAGTGACGTACAACTTCGCCTAAGATGAGAGAAACCTCGAGGCGGAGCGGCCAAGCAGACCAACACGGGTCGGTTAAGCGGTTACAGACGTACAGTAGCGCCCCTTTCCTGCAGTCGGACGGTTTTAGGGTTTTGTTTCGAAGGCTGAGTGGGTCGCATTCGTTAGTTAGTTTGGTTCTGGAGATCGTCGTCTTTCTTGGGGGCTTCGCTGCCTTTTCCTTCGCTGCTTCTCTGGAATAAAGTGGGAAAGTAGGGAAAAAAGGAATAGAAGGTCCCAAGGGCTTCTTCCAATGGTCTCAAGTCACGGTTGTTACTATTGCTCATGCTACCAAGGTACTATACCATCAAGGCTGTTGAACTACTTCTTAGAGCAACGCTCCCCAGTTGCTGAAAGGAAATCCGTGGTTCATGGCGGCCGAAAGTTCCCAATAGTAGTACCACGTTGTTGTATGACACACACGCACAGCATTCACCCTCCGAGTGGCAAGATCGGCAACCCGCTCGTGCCTGGAGACATCCGACTCGTGCTGAGTCTAATGCCGTCCAAAGTCAAATCAAATCATTTCCATTTAGTTCAGTAGATACGTAGATAGATACTTTGAAGACAGACACCACCCTACAACATACTTTCGTACTAAGGTACAACTGGTACAACCTTGCAAGGAATCCGGAGATGATTGCCAGCCCATCCGCTTCAAAAGAGCGGATAAGAACTTTCCATCGCGCAATTTGATAATCCCAAGTTTAGCCTTCACCGTTCACAGCGACCGTCGCCTCCATCAACCTCTCTCATCCATCCCCCCTGCTCCACTCTCCCCTCGACCCTCATTTGCCTCTTGCTTCTCTTCTTCCGCCGGG